TAATTCGACTTAGGGTTACGAGTTTAGGGGTGATCGGGCCAACAAAGCTGACACGTTTAAGATGTAGTAGAGTGAATTTTGTTGTTGAGTCCTGGAATCTGCTGCTGTCCCGAATGAGGGATGAAATGTTGGTCTTGTGCAGCTCTTCGGACATTTTGCCAAGGCGTAATATCCTCATCTCTAAACTCCAAACAAAAATCCTACGCTGCCTACTTTCGATAAGACAGATATCCCTGAAAGACGGAAGCCAAAGTACACCGAAACCTCAACCGAAACTTTCAGCACTATGACCACTAAACCCCCTAATCCATGCCTGTAAGCTTGCAGACCTACTTTTGTTTAAGCTTGTATGGGGCTGTTTTCATGATCTCAATCCTCAACCCTAGGACCCTAATTCAAATCTTAAAACCCTAAGCCCTAACACCCCAAACCCTAAACCCCAAAGTCCTAAAACCCTAAGCCTTAGACCTCAAAATCCTGAAACCCTAAGCCCTAAACCGCCTAACCATGTCGGTCTTTGTGGCCGCAGGCGTGAGCCCTCCAAACTCTGGGGCCGACCCCCTGGAAATCTTGCATGCCATAAACCCTAAACCCTGTAATCCAACTCCAAGACCCTTGCCCTAAAAATTGTCTGTTGGGGTTTAGGGTTTAGGGTTTAGGGAGCCCCCATTTTGCCCCATAAGCCCGAAAAAATACCTCAAACTACAGCCCTATACACCCTGAACCTGAACAGAAACCGCCTGCTCTTTGGTAGATTCCACAGTCGTGCCGGCCTTCAGTGCAATCTCTGGGGGAACTCAAAGCCGTGAGTTCAGGATATAGCAGTTTGGGTTTGGGGTGTAGTTCAGTGTTTAGGGTTTAGGGTTTAGGGCACTCATGAGTTTGGGTTTAGGTGTCGGCCAGGAGGTGCAACAGAATCAGCTGCAACATATACTTTGTCGTGTTTCCAGTAGTTGCTAGCCCTAAGACCTATAGCGAAACCCTAAGAATCCTCCCTCTGCGGTCGGCTGTGGATCGTCCTCCGGACCTTGCCTCCCAAACCTCCAACCCCAAACCCAAAAACCCGAAAGCCCAAAACAATGAAGCCTCAAAACCCCAAACCCCAAAACCCAAAACCCTAAACCTTAAACCCTAAACCCAAAATCCAAAAACCCTAAAGCCCAACACAATGAAGCCTCAAAACCCTAAACCCTAAACCTTAAACCCTAAACCCTAAACCCTAAATCCAAAAACCCTAAAGCCCAACACAATGAAGCCTCAACTGGAACCCTAAACCCTAAACCTTAAACCCTAAACCCTCAAACCCAAAAACCCTAAAGCCCAAAACAATGAAGCCTCAAAACCCTAAACCCTAAACCTTAACCCCAAACCCAAAAACCCTAAACCCCAAACCCAAAAACCCTAAAGCCTAAAACAATGAAGCCTCAAAACCCTAAGACCTAAACCCTAAACCTTAACCCCAAACCCAAAAACCCTAAACCCCAAACCCAAAAACCCTAAAGCCTAAAAGAATGAAGCCTCAAAACCCTAAACCCTAAACCCTAAACCTTAAACCCTAAACCCTAAGCCCAAACCCAAAAACCCTAAAGCCTAAAGCAATGAAGCCTCAACTGGAACCCACTCTGAGCTCGCGTCCAGGATGGATTGCTGCCTGCCCAGACGGAACCATGGCTTTGGGGCTAGGGCTTCGGACCAGGGCTTGGGGCTTAGCATTCAAGGTTTGGGGTTTAGGGTTTAGGGTTTAGGGTTTAGGGTTTAGGGTTTAGCATTCAAGGTTTAAGGTTTGGGGTTTAGGGTTTAGGATTTAGGGTTCAGAGTTTAGGGTTTGGAGTTCAGGGTTGAGGGTTTAGGGTTCAGGGTTAAGGGCTTGTACCAGTCTCCCCTGCCATGCGCCCAGGCAACAGCTGATTAACCCTAAACCCCCCATAAACCCCAAACCCTAGTGCTTAGATGGCCGTATTGGGAGCCTCCTGAGCTAAGTGCCTCGGGTCTGTTTCTCAATATAGGGCTTTCATGGTTAGAACAGGGATTTGGGAGTATTAGAGTGGGGTTTGGGAGTATTCTAGTGTAAACTATCAGAAGGACCCAGAGGAAGAGGGGTCAAGTTGAGGGTCTAGGGACTATAGGGGTCCAGGGGTTGAGGGTCTGTGGTCTAGACGTGGAGATTCAGGGTTTAAGGTTTTCTGCAGTTTAGGATTTAGGGTTTAAGGCTTTGGGTTTAAGGCTTCGTTGCTTGGGCTATGGATTCAGGGCTTCAGGGCTTCTGCTTCGGGGGTTCTCACAATACCGGAGGACAACTCTTCGGATCCTCCTAGCTCTCCTAAAGCAGCCACTGAAGGTCAATCTTAAACACCAGAACCTACCTTTTCGTAGGTTCTTCATACGAACCCGAAGGTCGGATTTTGAGGGACCCTACAAAAAAGGTGGGGTTTGGTAGGAGGGAGTTTGAGGGTGGACACTTCTAGCTCGTGGTCTGGCCATCATCGACGGCGGAAATCCCAAGCCCCGCCCCCCCAGAAACCTTCATCCTAAACGCGAAGCCCTAGATAAATCCCAAACCAAAAACCCCGTGCTTCCTTGGGCAAGCTTAGCCTATCGAGTTTTATTTTTTTTGGTAGGTGCTTGTGATAAACCCTAAGAGGGAGCCAGACACGACCAGGTTTAGGTAGGTTAAGGAAGGACTCTATAATCCCGGGGCGAGGAGCCTGTCTGACATCTGCAAGGCAAGAGGGGGCTTCTCGGAAGCCACCAGCTCCAGCCAGTTCTTGAAAGGGGACGAAGCAGAGTTCCTGCAGGCTTTCAGTCTAGGTTTAAGCTGAAACCCCGCGCCGAAAAACAAAACCTAGACCCTACCCTAAACCCTAAACCCTAAACCCTAAACCCACTACACCAGACAGCTTTAATTATCAAGCAAGCTGTGAGAAGGCGGGTGGAACGCTGCGAGATTGAAGGTGCAAGCGGATCTCAGTCGTTGCCAATGTAACAGTGACACAACTAAAACCACACAGGAACCAACGTAGTCGTAGTAGTAGTAGTAGTAGTAGTAGTAGTAGTAGTAGTGGCATAGGGAGGATCTCCTTTCCGCCAGAAGTGCAAGAGCCAGGACCACCAGCTGTTCCGCCTCGCAGCTGCGCGGAGCTAAACCCTTAGCCCCTAAACCCCTAACCTGTATGGTTCAGGGTTTATAGCGACCTCCCTAAAGGCCTGAACCCTGAACCCCAAAGTCCTGAGCCCTAACCCTATGATGCAAGGGCCTCAATAATTAGAATAGGGTTTGAGGTATATTGGGCTCGATGTTCAGATCGCCACGGCACGGGTTGATGAGTGCAAGACCCAACCTATATGGGAATACTTAGCCGAACCATACTCGTGATTCCTACTATAGAAACTTGTTGTTTTTGTTCGGGGGGGGCCCAGTGTCGAGTTTAGGGTGATGGGACGATGAGCTATTGTCGGGTTTTCGAGGTTCTTAGTTACGGTTGAATGAATATAACCCATACATAGCCGCAGCCTAACCCCAGCCCCCAACCGCCAAAAGCTTTGGTGCTTGTCGATTTTCGTACAGTTAGAGACCAGACCAGGTTGGGCCGCTAACTTTAAACCCTACACCCAATACTGTAAGATGGTCTCTGCTGCTCAGCCCGAACTCCTAAACCCATGTCAAGCCCCTATCCAACCCACCTCAGCAACATCCACCGAAGATGCCTTGTTATGTAAAGTGCGAGTCAACATCGGTTTAAGGCTTAGAGCTTATAGAGTTTATATCCCTGAAACCCTAAACCCCAAACCCTAAAGGGTTTCAATTAAGGCTAGTTGCGGGTGCAGAAAATTAGCGACCCCAGCTGGGCCCTCCTAGGAACCTCATACTCTTATTCTTGCCATCTGTATCATCATCGTTATCAATGCAGTCTTATACATGTTTTGTTCCATCTTAGTAGTATTGGTCTCATGATTACCAGAATTTCTCTTTCCCAGTCGCATACGACCCCTCCCCGCCCCCCGATTCCCTCCCCTCTCAAAGACAAGGGCTTGTCCTATCGAGAAGATCCACCTCGCCATCCGCGCTATCAAGCTGCAAAGGACCTCAAAGAGCCGTTCGTCACGAGGGGTCTCGGGTTTAGGGCTTGAGGCTGCAGGGTTTTAGGGTTTAGGGTTTAGGGTTTAGGGTTAGGGGTTTAGGGTTTAGGGTTTAGGGTTTAGGGTTTAGGGTTTAGGGTTTAGGGCTTGAGGCTTCAGGGTTTAGGGTTTAAGGAAACCCTAAAACCCCAAACCCTTTTAGGGGTCTAGGGTTATAGGGCTTAGAGTCGAGGGCTCGGGGTCCAAGTCACGTTCGGGTCCCGATGCCAAGTTTCAGAGGGCTCAATATCTAGAATGGGGTACTGGGGTATATTATACTATGCTGATATAGGGACTGCAAGGGACACTGCTATTGATCAGTGATTAGTTTAGACCCCAATCGTAAACTCTATCATCAGCATCTGCTGAGCTGTAGCTGGGCTCGTGTAAAGGAAGGACTTAATTGTAGACGGCAAGGTCATCCGGGATGGCACCCAGGTGCCCTTCGAACACATCCTGCCAACCGTTCATGGCTCACTGTACCACACAATACAGCATATCTCAGAGAAAGCTGGGAAAACTTCAGGAGGTAGCAGAAGTATGACACGGCAAAGGGTGGAATGGCATATTGCACCACCATCTCAGTTCGAGATCAGTAAGCTAGGCACAAACTTGCCACTGATGTGGCTGCAGAAACGAAAATCCTCGGAGATGCAAATCCTAAGCACTAAACTCTTAACCCTCAGAGCCCAGACACACAACTTGTGCCGCACGAGTGGCCTTTTCGCGATATGTCAGCCGGGGCGTCTTTGCAGACTGCAGCCGTATTGTACTATAGCAAGAGAACCCTTAACCCTAAACCCTGAGTTCTAAACCCTAGGCCCTAAAGCGGTTCACGATCTTCTGAAGCCATTGGGTCACAGTCACAGGTCCGTCTTCCGGGGTCAGTCGAAATCGTTGTCGACACTTTCTCCACTGTTGACACCACTCGCCTCCTCACGCATAGACCAAGCCACCTCCAGCAACAAATTTGGCTTGGTCCGTCCCAGCTCCTCCAGTTCCTGCTTCTTAAGCCATGCGAACCCTTAACCCTAAACCCAGAGCCCACAGCTTACGATTACCCCTAAACCCAAAAGCCCGAAATCCTCTGTACCAAAGCCCTAAACCCTAAAACCCAGAAACCCCCAACCCGACCTAAACCCGAAACCCCAAAACGTTCCCGCTGAGCCCTGCGTCCTCTTTGTTGAGCAACTGGGGACACACACCCAGCTTCTTCAGGCAACGGGCGTACCTTGGTTTGCTGAGTTCATCAGCCCCAAAGAATTACGGGCTTACGGTTTGGAGTTCTAAAAGGGGTTGCGACATCACCGAAACGCGTAGAGTGTACTCATTCAACTACGAAGGAACTGATCATCTAGTCCGCAGTCATGGGCTTGAACGAGACGGCTGACTGTGACAGGAAGGCTGCGAAGCTTCTCCTGCCGGCTCAAGGGTTTACAGCGGATAGATTTTAGGGTTTAGGGTTCAGAGGGGGTTAAGAGGGTTGAATATAGGGCCTCAGAGGTTAAGGGGTTACGTACAGGGCCTCAGAGATTCAAGGGTTAGTTTAGGGTCTTAGGGCGTTTAGGGCTTGACGGTTTAGAGCTCAGGGGTCTACGGCAATCCTGAGCTGTAAAACCTAAATGCTACATCCCAAACCCTAGTCCTAGATCTTAAGCCCTAAACCCTAAACCCAAATCTTAAACCATAAACTGCCATAAACCCTAAATCCTAAATCCTAATTTTCTATATAAATCCTAAACCCATGGCCCTAAAATTTAAATCCGAAGCCCTAAACAATAAAGGATTATGTAAGGGTCCTCGCAGCCCCACTTCACGAAGTCGACCTGGTAGTGGTCACTCAGTGCCAGAAGAGGGCCGAGGTTCTCCTCAGATATCAGACTGCAAAGGACAAGTAATACGACACTCAACAAAACCGCTAGAATAAGTAAATAAAACCAATACACACACACACATATATATATATATCTGTGTGTATGTCTGTATGTACGTATGTCTATATCAGTATATCAAATGTTCAAAGATGCTATGACATAATATCAGGAATGCCAGGTTCTCTTCGATAATACACAATACTAATAATCGTAATGCTGACAACAATGATATCAATGACAAACGTGTTATTACTTTTGCCACTCATGATTTAAATGATCTTTCTCCTCAGTGATCTTGTCGCTGCGAAAGTACCCGGGCATGAGCAGGCTGTAAAACCTTACACGTCCAGTTCCCTAAGAGATACGAATGTAGTGTTTAGGGCTTATAGGGTTTGGGGGTTTAGGGTGTAGGGGTATGGGGTTTAGGGTACTCTACTACACAAAAGGATGGAAGGTGACCTGTTCAACCACGAAGAAGCGCATCGAACTCGTGCGCAGTAGCCGCCTTCACTTCGATCTTCTTCGTGCCTGAGGCGAGCATCTGCTCAAAGACCGGTGAGCACATCCGCAACACCGCAGAACCTGAGTTGGCATCGAAATTACGCAGTTTATAACGGTACGCATGAGTGTGTATAAGCAAATAAGTACATAAATAAATAAATAAATAAATATATATATATATATACATATATATATATACACATAAGAATGACTGAAATAATGACTGGGTGTACGTATGTCTATTTCTCTACCCATGCCTATAACCATACCTTTAACTATATCACCTACACCTACATCTCCACTACCTATCTATATCTATATCTATGTGCATGTGTCCCTTAATACTTAGAATAGGGTTCTGGGGCGCCCTATACTATAAATATAATAAGGAACCCCAAAAATAGAATAGGGAATTATTTTGGCCCCTATATTACCCGGCTACCATCCCACGAGAAACTAAACGTTGCCACCGGCCCGATTGCTATTCCCTGAACTGAAGCCTAACATCCTTACGCCATCGTCATCCGTGAGGAACAGACTTTTCGAGAGCCATCGTCGAATGTGAGTTCCTGGACTGAGGTCAAGAAAAACAGCTAAGCTTCCTGTAACCAAACCAAGTACGCACAAACTCATCTATGTGTATGTATATGTGTATATACATATACATATCTATATATACATATGTATATGTATATATATATATACAGATATGTGTGTAGATATGTATATATATATATATAGAATTATGTTTATATGTGCATATATACATATATATGCACATACTTATATACATACTATCGAGTTGCAGAGCCGAGGTTCTATGTCGTCCACTCCTTTGGAGCTGATCTTTTCCGATGCCTGCGGGACTCGTCGCGAAAGAGTTTAGGGTTTAGATAGAGTTTAGGGTAGCTTAGGGTTTAGATAGAGTTTAGGGTAGTTTAGGGTTTAGATAGAGCTTAGGGTTTAAGATAATCGAAACGGCTACAGTGCTTGTGTGTTTTGTCATCTGAACAATGCTATCGTCGCGAAAGAGCAGCAGGGCAGCCGGAAGATCTAGAACAAGCATGTTAGGTTTAGGGTTTGGGGGTCGTTTAGAGCGTGGAAGCGCGAAGAGTAGCGCCGCTCCATCTAGCATATGACCCGATCGACACGAATCTCTTGCGAATTTGTGGCAGGCCACAGCACATGGTCAGATCGGTCGCGAAAATAGCTACAACAGACGGGACGGCACATGACGCCTTTCAGCACATTACATTCTGGCAACATGCCACGTCTTTTTAAAAGTTGGATCCGTGAAGTGGCCTACCGCAGATGTCACCCACATTTCTATGCTGCTGTGTACTGCTTATGACCGTACACCCTCCCAGACTTTGACCACTGGATCACGCGCGGCCTTCATCATCTTCTGTATGCACGGTGAGACGGTCTTTCCTGGTCTTCCGCGATTCAAGAGCGACTGCTTTGTAAGTTTCGCTCTCCGAGGACTCCAGCTCTTGTCCATCTTGTCCTTTTTTGCCAGCATTGTCTGGCCAGTTGGCACTCGGAAATCGGCAATGAAAACGACGATTCACCACAATATTGCTCAGTGGCACATGAGGCGAACAGCACGCATGTATCTACAACGCTAGGACTGTCGCTTTTGATGATTGAAGTGCCTGGCAAACTCAGGATTGCGGGCATGACATTCAGAAGCTGCTTCATGAACCCAAAACAGGGTTTAGGGTGTAGGGTTTATGGTTTCGGAAACCTCCAAGCAGCGTGTGCTGCATAGTCTTAGCGGCAAGACATGAGCCCGAAAGCATTCTTTGATAGCATGTCCAGCTGGGCTGATGAGAGGCAAGACTGCGGGCTCGGCACCTAATGTAGGGGCCTTATAATAATAATAAATATTATAATAATAATAGTAATAATAATACTAATAATTGGAATAAGGTTTTGGGGTGTGTTTTGCTATGAGTATAATAAGGATCCCCCAAACTAGTATTGGAAACTAATTAGGCCCCTATATTAGGTTGTGCTGCAGGGGCCTCAACGTGGGTTTGGTAAGCTCCATGAGTTTAGAGCGCTTCACGATCTTTATGGTTGATCCGGTTGATCCTAACAAGTTAGTGGGCTCAACTTTGTACTGCGCTTGAAAACTGTACACCAGGACCCCGCAAACCCTCAAACCCCAAACCCTGAACACCAAAGCCCTAAACCCTAGACCTCTAGACCTAAACCCCTAAACTCCTAAACCCCTAAGCCTCAACCCCTAAACCCTGATCCCTGAAACCCTAAAAAAAACTATACAGTCCCGCTCCCAGAAGTCTCTAGAATGTTTAGGGTATGTAAACCCGCTGAGGGTCAGGGCATCGCACCGAATCTAACCTCAAGCCGGGCTTAGGTCTACGGCTCCAGCTAGGGTTTAGGGTTGAGGGTTTAGGGCTTAGGGTTTAGGATTTCTGGGTACATAATCAATTTAGGTTTCTGCGTGACCCCTCAAGAATAAGGGTACCCATTCTTCCTGTTACTCAGTTGTACTAAAGGAAGCATACAATAAAAAGAGAAAAAAGGGTACTACTCAGGAACCTAGTAACCGTCGACTTTAACTGCAGCCCTAGAGCGAAATCGAAGGACCCATGAATCAAGCTAGCTGGAATTCAGACCTCAAAGCTGTCAACCCTGCTGCTCGGGCACCGACCGTGGTCTACAGCGTATTGCCGGACCCTCTGCCTGGGAAGTTGCAGCCGAATATGAAGCCGAATAATCAACACTCCAGCACCCTAAACCCTAAACCCTCATCCCCAAATCCCCCAAATTGCAAGCCCTGGGCCAAATACAAGGGAGCTTGCCCGATTGTACACCGTGTTGATGTTTCAACAGGCGCTGGAGTTCAAAAACATATACTTATACCCTTAAACTCTAAACTCTGAACCCCTAAACCCTACACCCTGAACCCTATTCAACCGTTGAGACGTGTCATATCGACACGAAAGCTGCAATAGACCAACACATGCCTCTCTTTAAAGACCCCGGGGTTGAGGTTCTTTTCTCTCCACTGGTGTTCCATGTTGTTCCTACTTTTGGTTAATCCAAGACCTGAACCCTAAATGGTTCCTTACTGTGGCTTCCTGACATAAGCTTGGAACAAACTTAGGGGTTTTGCGGGCTCATGTAAAACTTAAAATGGTAGGCCGTCGGATCCCCTACAGGTGCCTGAGTTTGATTTAGTCGATTCCCTCTAAACCTCTAAGCCCTGAAAACGGAACCCCCGAGCCCTAAAGCCTGAGCACACAACCCTAAACCCGAAAACCCTAAA